TCTTTCAAATGAGAAATAATATTAACGTAGTGTCTACCAAAGTACTGAGAAGAATGCTGGAATATCATGATTGCTCTTAAAAGCTAACTAATGATTTCCAATAGAAAGTAAGCTCTGTGAGACTAAGGATCTTTTTAATTCACCAGTATAGATCAGTGCCTGTCATTTGGTAATTTCATAATAAACATTATTTATGGATAAATGAGCAAAAGGGAGAATATAGTGAAGACAGTAGAAAAGACTTCATAAAAGTCTTTTAAAGTTCAAAGAAAAGAAAATCTTTTAAGTTTAAAGAAAAGAAAAACAGTACATTATACATGTGCGTTGTGTACACTCTTTAGTCGCTAAGTCATGTCCAACTCTTTCATGACCCCACGAACTGCAGCCCACCAGGCTCCCCTATCCATGGGGTTTTCCAGGCAAGAATACTGGAGTGGGTTGTGGTTTCCTTCTCCAGGGGGTCTTCTCAATCCGAGAGTCGAACCCCCGTCTCCTGCTTTGGCAGGCAGACTCTTTCTCTCTGAGCCACTGGAGAAGCCCCTTACCGTATATATACACATGTATGTGTGTGTGTGTGTGTGTGTGTGTGTGTGTGTGTGTGTAAACATATATATATATAAATATTTCATTATTTGCATGATGTCTGAAAGGTAACTAAAATAACACTTAGTTAATCCAGTTTTTCTACTGTGTAAGTTATTTCCCGAGTAAAATAGATAACTTTCTTCCAGAAACTACTTTGACCCGTAGTAGTAGTGTTAGTTGCTCAGTTGTATCTGACTCTTTGCGATCCCACTGACTGTAGCCCGCCTGGCTCCTCTGTCCATGGGATTCTCCAGGTAAGAATACTGGAGCGGATTGCCATTCCCTTCTCCAAAGGGATCTTCCCGACCCTGGGATCAAACCTGGGTCTCCTGTATTGCAGGCAGATTCCTTACAGTTTGAACTACACAGGAGACTTTGACTTTGTACCTTGTAGTAAGTTACTGTGTCTGTGTTCAAAATTATTTCCTTGGGGTAGGTTAGCTCAACCTCTAGAAGAATCCGCCATGGTACATAAGCAAAATAAAGTTACTGTAAAAATGATGAATAACATTTAATAAGATCATTTAAAAATTTTGAGAGTAAAGCAGAAACTGGCTAAAGCTTAGAATGCCCTTACTGAAAATTCTGTATTCCCTGCTCTCAGAATTCCTCTTCCTAGATCCCCTTAGTAATGTCACTGAAATTCACTGACGCCTCCCCACACACTTTTTTTTTTTTTTTTCAACCTCAGGCCATATTAAATTTGCAGTTTGCTGTCTTAAAAACACACCTGGAATGCATCCCAGTATATTGATTATCTCTCAGATTTAAATTGAAAAATGTAACTGACTTGGAAGGCAATAAACCATGAGGTGGGCATTTATCTCTATCACTTTTTCAGTCAGTAGCACAGTAGTTCTCTAAACATTTTCAGGATAAAAGGATATTTGAGTGAGCCACACAGAGAAAGTGATAATAAACTTCCTTCTCACCCACGCAGGGGAGTTAACACCGATTTAGATATGTTCCAGGAGATGAACCACTTACTTGTTCTTTGTTTAAGAATTGTGAATGAAGTGAGTCAGAGAGCCTCTCTACCCTCACCCCCACCTATACGAATATATTTGTTCATCTATTTATTCAAAAGATTGGTAATTCATGTATATGTGAATATATATATATGTTATACATATATTAATTCATATATATATATGTCTATATATATATATATATGTAATGCATTCATCAAGCATTTTTTTCTATATCAAAGGACTGTGGAATTTGCCTTCTAAGAGCTTACATTCTATTAGCAGAGGACACTTGAAAAAAAATTAAGTAAGGTAATTTCAGAACACACACAAAAGTTAGTAAAGAAATAATGAGACAGGGGCATAGAGTGAGGAAGTTTTCATGGTTTCTTTGGAATAAGTGTTCTAAATGGCTTCTCTTAGGGAGTGACTAGTTAATAGTCAGCCATGACAGGAGATAGGAAGAAGAATACTTTAAGCTTAATTTCAAACAGGTTAGTGCCTCGAGGTTTCCAAATAATTGAAGAAAAAGGAAAAGAAAGAAAAGGAAAGAAGGAAGGGAGAGAGGAAGAGAGAGAGAAAGGGAGAAAGAAAGAGAAAAAGAAGAGAAAAATGTTAGTGAGATTGAAGAAAACAATGAACAGCTTTATGGGGTAGGGGTGAAGGGATAATGTGGGTTCAAATTGGCAGTGAAAAAATAGTTTAGGTTTTCTTCTAATTGCAGTTGATAACCAGTGGAGTATTTTTTCCAATGAAAAGATATCATCTGATAGATAATTTCTAAAACATTTTACACACACACTAATACTGTATCTGTGTCTCATGAAAAAGTTTAACCTGGTATCTGAGTAGAGGTGGGACACCATCTCTTAATTATTGTCTCTATAACTGGGATAGAACTATCAATTACTGTCTAGGATTATTTAACATGTTTGGCAGAACAGATTATAAATTGAGCTGAAAAGTTAATATGAGTTGTTTCTTCTTAAAACATTCTATTAAAATGTAATGAATTGATGATGTAATTCATTGATTTCTGAGTTAGATGCTATTAAAATTAGAGATGTATGTAAAATACAAAGGATTCCTGCTAGTTTATATATTACAATGCTTGCTTCATTTCCTTCACTATGTTGTAAGAGAAATTACTTAAAAATACTATTTTAGTCACAAAAGCATAGTTTGCATTCCTGCTAGTAATTATGACAAGATTTTTAATCTGTCTTTGATGAATCAATTTTACACCAACATTATTTTTTTCCATTTATTTTTATCAGTTGGAGGCTAATTAAAACATTGCAGTGGTTTTTGTCATACATTGAAATGAATTAGCCATGGATTTACATGTATTCCCCATCCCAGTCCCCCCTCCCACCTCCCTCTCCACCCCATCCCTCTGGGTCTTCCCAGTGCACCAGGTCCGAGTACTTGTCTCATGCATCCAACCTGGGCTGGTGATCTGTTTCACCCTAGATATACATGTTTCGATGCTGTTCTCTTGAAACATCCCACCCTCGCCTTTTCCCACAGAGTCCACAAGTCTGTTCTATACATCTGAGTCTCTTTTTCTGGTTTTTAAACTCTTGATTTTGTCAAAAAAAATAGCAAAATGCAACCGAAATTTATTGGTATTCCCAAAGTATTAAACAATCTAGTCACACTTTGCTCAAAGAAAACATCAAGTGTCTGTATATTTTATTTACTATAAATATAAAAATTTCATGTATACCAGAGACAGAATAGAAAGTGGCTCTTCAATTTACAGAAATATACTAGTGAATATTTGGAAACATATTTATTAACTGGACTATTGTATTTTTCAGTACATATTTTAATTTTTCAAGAAAATAAAATTTTCCATCAACACTAATAGGGAGCTCTTATCATATTCAATTTCCTGTTGAAGAGAATGAGCATCAGGGAGGCTCACCCAGGTTATCTCAGATGGTAAATGGGGTTAGGAGTAGATCTGAGCTCAGGTCAATCAAATCATGTCTTCGTCCTGCACAGTTTTAACCATGATCTGGTGCTTCAGTGGTAAAGAACTTACCTGCTGATATAGAAGGTGTGGATTCAGTCCCTGGGTTGTGAAGATTCCCTGGAGAAGGAAATGCAACCCACTCCAGTATTCTTGCTGGGAAATCCCATAGACAGAGGAACCTGGCTGGCTACAGTCTAATCCAAAAGATTTAGAGATGACTATACAACAGCTTTCAAAACATACTTCAGGATTCAAGAATGTAATGTGAACTTATTTTATTATGCAGCTTACTCTGGAAAGAGTAAAAGCAAATAAAATTATGAGAAATAGGAAATAAAATATATGTATTGCTTTTTAATTTTTTTTATTACTCTATATCATTCCACTTTTCATCCTCTTTTCTACTATTTTTTTCTTAATGGCTTAGGTCTTACTTATGTCTCTTCTTCATGTCCTGTATTTTCTACTGTGCTTTAGTTCTTTGTGGCATAAGTCTTTTTTCTTTGATCTATAATCTTATGGTATTTTGTAAACATATCTTGACTATTCAAGGGAATAGTATGTAGTATACAACCTAGAATAGCAAACTTAATTGGACCCCTCAATCTATAATTTTATACAGAATTTGATCATTTTTAAGCTTATAAGCAAAATTTTCATATTTGCAAACATGCAGATACCAAACACAAAATGATAAAATTTAGATTATTTTTTAATCTTCAAAGCTATGAAAATAATCCAGAAGCAAAGTGCTTATAACTGTTGGCATGACAGAGAGAAAGTTATGTAGTTTACACAGCCTCAGAGCATCTCTTATCTGAATATAAACCAAAAACATTTTTTAAAAGATCCTGGACACATTAATTGAATCATGAATCCTTCTAAAAGGAAATGAATCTATAGATGACTATTATAAGAAACTGTGTAAGAATAGTAAAATATTTATTCACTTTCATAAAAGGAAAAATATCATTTCTGTTCTACTGTAAGAAGGCATTCAAGCAGCAATAATTTGGGTAGAAAGACTAAAAGGAGAAAATAAGTAGAAAAAAGGTTTTCTGTTTTCCTAGAAGCAGTACCTGGTTTTGCCAATTGTTAAATACAATTGTCCATGCCTGCTCTTCAGAGGGGGGCTTCCCTGGTAGCTCAAGTGGTAAAGAATCTGCAATGCAGGAGACCTGGGTTTCATCCCTGGGTTAGTAAGATACCCTGGAAAAGGAAATGGCAACCGCTCCAGTATTCTTGCCTGGAGATCTTCGTGGACAGAAGAGCCTGGCAAGCTATAGCCCATGGGGTCACAGAGTCAGACATGACTGAGCGACTGTAAACAATGTGCAATTATATATTATAAATTTCATAATCTGAAAAACACCTAACTTAACTAAACTGGAATATGAATGAAATTCAGAACACCTGTGAGAAATTATCAAAAACTGACTAAAATATGTTTTAATACCTCCTATCAGGAGAAGAAATCTATGCCTTAGTTCCTTGAATCTGGGCTTGTCTGTGACTTGCTTTGACAAAGACAATCTAACAGAAGTAATGTGGATATTCTCAACTCTGGATCAAAGACATCTTGCAGCTGCTGTTCTTGCTTGAAAACAAGCATAAGCCAGCTTGTCAAATAATGAGAAACATGTGGTCCAGTTGCTTCTGTCATCCCCACTTCCAATCAGCCAACCCCTAGAAGAGGAGCTGGCTAACCTGGTAAGTGACTGGAAATGCTTGAGAAAGTCCAGGAGCACCAGGAGAACAATTGTTTAGCTGAGTACAGTCTAGATAGTCAACTTACAGAACACTCAGCTAAGGAAGTGGTTCTCTCTTTAAGTTGTTAGGTTTCCAAGAAGTTCCTTCACTCAACACAAAATAACTGATACACCAGCAACAAGTAGGAATTGCACAAAATTACTTCAATAAGTTTTCCCTAAAAACTTAAATATCAAATAACAGCTAGGTACTAATTTCACTACTCATAGCCTCTGCCAGATGTTGCTTTCTTCTCTCGTCTAGAAATTAGAGACCCAGAGCTGTGGTTGCTTCTTTAGTAGTGGGGTGGATGAGAGGGTGTTAGCCGGCTCCTTGATCTTGTCCTCTGTCATCCACTTTTGAAGGTGTCTGACTCATCGGAAAGTGGGATTCTGTTCTGTTCCTATTGATGATTTCCTCCAGTGTAGAAACTTTGAACCAATGGTGATATGTGATCAGAATTTTTGGACATAATTCAGCCCAGTGAAGGACACATTACCATTTCTGTTAAATAGATATAAAATGTAAACAAGCTCAGCATATTAACATACCATACTGTGCTATACTAAATTGCTTCATTCATGTCTGACTCTGTAACCCTGTGGACTGTAACTCGCCAGGCTCCTTTGTCCCTGAGATTCTCCAAGCAAGAATACTGGAGTGGGTCACCATTCCCTTCTCTGAGGGATCTTCCCAACCCAGGGATCAAACTCATGTCTCTTAAGTCTCCTACATTGGCAGGTCTGTTCTTTACTGATACCACCTGGAAAGCCCTATTAACACACAGGGGTCTTATATAGACAATTAGGTAAAGATTGATATTTTAACTTCAAAAAGGAAACAAGGAGCTGTTGGAGGTCAAAGAGAGGTTGTGACTTCATGAGTTGGGCCCACCAGTCAGAGGCCCCTCATCTCCTCCCCTGGCCTTCCAATGGGAGGTTTGATCATCTTTCCACAGCTAGAGCCATTCTCAAGGACACAGCCTTGAGAGAGCAATGTGTTGCTGAGACCGTCTGGTCAGTACTAGTGACTGAATCCTGTTAAGGCCTAAATATAAATTTTTAAGGTTCTGGTGGGCAGGGGTAAAGATCTGTTCATCTTGCAACCACCCAAGACATACCTCAGATGTGAGTTCCCTTCATGTATGGCGGCCAGTTTGTGAACTGACGAACAAGTTCATTTCTCTAATGTGTCTTATTAACAGAATACACAGATTGCTACTTCCATGTACCTTAGAAGATGAGGCAAGAAAGTAAAGGATAAAATTCTCCTGACTTGGATCTGTGATACTTGTCGAGGAGAGATTGGTCACTGCTTGGTAGTATGTTCATGAGCACAGAAGTTCAGCTGTGCTACATTAGACAGAGCCAGCAATTTCATTAGGGGTTTTCAGGATGGGTGACTGCTGTGGACTGATAAGAAAGTATCAGCCGTTTCCATAAAGTTTCAAGAGACATGGCCTGAAGACATGTTTTTCAGTGGCAAAGTGGGTTGATGAATATTTTTTTTTTCTTTTTCTTTTTTCAAGGCAGTGGGTCTCAAACTGGGCTGTTTCTCCTTTGGGGTATTTGCTAAGATCTGGAAAGATTTTTGTCATACTAGGGTTGCAGTGCTATTGGTGCCTAGTTCAAGATGCTGCTGGTGGTGGTGGTTTAGTCGCTAAGTTTGACTCTTGCACGTGAAGTGTCTGACTCTTTGCAACCCCATGGACTGTAGCCCACTAGGCTCCTCTGTCCATGGGATTTCTCAAGCAAGAATACTGGAATGGGTTGCCATTTCATTCTCCAGGAGATCTTCCTGACCCAGGCCTCAAACCTGTGTCTTTTGTGTCTCCTGCATTAGCAGGCAGATTCTTTATCACTGAGCCACCCAGGATGCCTGGAAGATACGCTAAGTATCCTAAAATGTACAAGTCGGTATTCCCTGACTCCTCCTCCCACCCCACCAGAGACACACATAATCCAGTAAAAAAAATGGCAATAATGCCAAGGTTCAGAAGCCCTGAAGGCTCTGGTGAGAGCCTTAGAACCTGAGGGCTCTAGGTGAGCCAGGTCCTCACAGATCAGCAACATGCACATACTTTTTACTCTCGGTCTTTTAAATGGTATCACTAAAGATCAATGACACTTTTATAATTGAAACAGAATGGTTGTGCTTAAATTTAAACTACTATACTATAACAAAATTATGCTATCCTATTCAAAATTTACAGACTACAAGCTTCAAATGATTTAGGGAAGAAACTGTTATTCAAAGGGAAACAATAGGCTCAGACTTCTAGTGCAGGATTCCATGAAATGATTACATATTAAATTTACATTTTAGTTCAGTAAACCTTCTCTTATTTTACAATTTTAGTTTTACAAAGAGACATTCATGTACCTTGTTAGAGCCCCAAATCATTGCTTACAAATCTTATCTGTTACTCAAGTCAAAAATGAATCATTTCATGGTGACATCAGGGATCTTGGGACATAAAAGGGAATTTTTCTAAGTTTCTATCATAGCACACCATAAAACACATATTATTAAGGGTATGAAAAGCTATGTACTGCCTTTGCTTTTTGAGAGGAATTAGAAGGAATTACATATTTAATGAAATCCTCAATAAGCATTGGAGAAAGAAATGGCAACCTACTTAAGCATTCTTGCCAGAAAAAGCCCATGGACAGAGAAGCCTGAAAGTGAAACGTGAAAGTGAAGTCGTTCAGCTGTGTCTGACTCTTTGCAACCCCATGGACTGTAGCCAAGAGGCTCCTCCATCCATAGAATTTTCCAGGCAAGAGTACTGGAGTGGGTTGCCATTTCCTTTGCCAGGGGATTTTCCTGACCCAGGGTTCAAACCAGGGTCTCCCACATTGCAAGCAGATGCTTTTACCATCTGAGGCACCAGGGAAGCCTGCTGGGTTACAGTCCGTGGGGTTGCAAAGAGGTGGACACAACTGAGTGCAGTACTGCACCAAACATTACACTATATGTAACTTAATTAGGATTAAATTTATTTTTTTAAAGATTATTACTTAGCTCATGTTTTTAATGTGAATCATTTCCACACCTACTTATATTTATTTATGAAACATATAGAATTGGAGGGGCACATAATTGTATAAAATGTATTCCTTTAATTCTTTCTAAAATATGATCAGATTGAGAGTTGTTTACTATTTGAAAGCTAAAACTTAGTCTATAGATGATTATTTTGCTTTTCATGCTTTTCACTTTTTCCCCCCTCTGTTGTAAATTGTCCAAAACGCAGCAGTTATTTCAGAGGTCTTTTTGATCATCTCATGGAGAGAGTAGAAAGAAACACGTGGGCTAGGAGAAGTTAGGCTAAAGCATAGACTTTGAGAAAAAATAAATGCCAGAACTATTGTAGTAAAGTTTTATGGTTGGATAACTATTGTATCAAATGACAGAAAACCAATTTGTATAAAAGCTTTACACCATCAAATGTATACTTTTAAAAAAATTCTTACTTTTCCTTTTGTTACTTATAATCAAAGTTTTAAATATGAGTGCTTTTCTTTACTTTCTTCTCTATGAAAGTCATTATAATGGTTAGTCCATTTATTACTGTGTTCCTTGATTTTTCAGTTATTTCTGGCTTCTTCATTATCTTGATTACATTATCTTATACAGTGACCCAAAAAAACCTCTTGTTACCCCTTTTATTCACTGACTGATAAGACAGTGAATATACTGAGCAGGGATTTCATAAAAAATAAAGTATCTCTACTCATGTATATGGAAGAAAAATAGTTCAACTTTATTTATCTTGGAAGTAGATTTCAACATTGATGCTGCCATTCAAAATTAAAGTGTTGCCTTCTAAATTCTTCCATATTTTTTAGCAAATATTGAACACATATAAAATGTCAAAATGCCCTTAGACAAATGAATATTATAGTAAAAAACAAAATGTGCTTGCCTCCATAGAGCTGGCATTACAGCATCCTCTATAGATCTGATTATGGAGTTTCTTTTGACGATTTTTCAGTCAATGTGTTCGCCTTTTTAACAAATAATTATGGTGCACCTATGTGTTTGGCTTTGTGCTGGGTGTTTGGTACATAATGGTGAGATGATTACTATCTTCATGGTTCTTAAATAATAATGGGGAAATAAGTATTATATAATAAAAGCAGACATGAATAAGAACTAATGAGGTTTTAAGTGCTAAGAAGGAGAAAAATGGTCTGTAAGGGAACAATTTCTGGGTGAAAGCAGATTCCAATACAAAATATATAGCTTAGTACTGTCAGAGAATCAAAATTAACCTGAGAGCTGAATGAAGAGAAGGAATTAGCCTCGTCCAAGAATTTAAATTTGTGCTTTTTTTGATAGAACAGCATCAGGCATAAATAACGAGATGGGTAATAGTCACAGTCATGAGCACACAAGAGTCCAGTGTAATTGAAAGTCAGTGAATGAAAAGAGATAAAGAAAATGCTCGGTGGTGGCCATGATGATAAAGATAAAGGAGATGTATTTTGGAAGTATCATTGTCAGGAATTGGTGATATATTTTATGTGAGAAATAAGGAATAGAGAAGAATCAAGGATGACTCCTAGTATCCAAGCTTAAGCAGCAAGAGAAATAAGGGATATAGCTTATGGAAAAACTGAAATGAGTTTATAAATGCAGCCTTCGAGACCCCTGTATGGCATTTAAGCAAAGATGTCAGTTGCATAGTTAGGTAGAGGTCAAACCTCAGAGAAGGTGGTCAAATTGAAGTCTGTGGTATAAAGAGAAATGTCTTGGACTGCAATTGCAAGTCATAGAACCAGACTCCCCTAGAGAAAGAGTATAGAGAAGATAATTCCTGTCTAGATACAACAGTAGGGTTTGGGTAGGGGAGTAAAATCTGGGAGCATGTCCAATGTAATGAGGATCCAGAATAAATAGAACAAAGCTCGCCTTTTAGGGAATTAAGTTGGAAAAAAGCTTTTTTAGGAAAAAAGTTGGAGAGATAGGACTTATCTAAATAGTTACGTAATAAAGGTATGTACTAGGTGCTGATGGAGCACGATGAAGGGAACATTTAATTTCACTTCTGGCTAGTTCAGAGGAAATTTCCAGAAGGATGACATGAACTATTCTGAAAAATCTTCAAAATAAGCAACAATTTAATAAGGTACAGGGAAGAACATTCCAAGCAAAGGAATTGAGATAAAAAATTCAAAGCATTTGAACAGTGGTAAGTAGTTCAGCTTAATCACATGCGTATAGCTTGTTTCACAATTCAAGATTTAGGTTAACTTCCACTGATGCACTTTTTCAAATTTATTTTCATTCTTATACTAATTAACAAATAAGAATGCTTTTTCCCTCTAATTGCCTTCATTAGTATGTTCTCTCTTGACTTGCCCTTAATCTAAATGAGAAAAAAAAAGGAGCTTTAATTCCTTTTTCAAATACAAGCCAAAGATCACACAGTTCTATGCACAGAGCAGATGGTCAACGAATGTATTATTTCCTAAACAACTGGATTCTTGTTCCTCTGTCCTTGGTGAATATGGGTAAATACATTTTAACTAGTGTGAAAACTGTATCCAAACATTATAACATATCATTCCATCCTGGTTGTAATACCCTGATATAAGTAAAACAATTCAGTGACCTGAAATTAGCCTCTATTAACATGTCAAGAATCATTCCAAACAATTTAAGTTTCATTAAATTCTAACACACTCAAAATTGAATCAATTTATTAAAGCTACTTATTTCCAGATATCCAATAGACACAATAATACCAACATATAACAAATTCAGACATATGAATAGTTTCACTACTCTACTTACTGAAGTGAGAATACTACTTCCTAACTAGAATAAGATACACTCTAAATGCAAATTAAAAGCAAATCAAGGCACTCCAAATCAGAGAACTGCTTGCTATTGGTTAGAGTGTCTTGAAGTATTCTTGATCTCTATGCAAAACAAGAAGGATGGACCCTTGTTAAAAAGGAATAGAGTTCAGTCTAACCAATCTATCTTGTATAGCCTGATTATACAAGATAGATTGTATCTTCATTCAATATAAATTTAAAATGAATAAAGCATTTTGACCAGAAATTCAGCAATAAAATCTTAACCCAAAAACAAAAAGAAAACCTCCTGCAAGTGATGCCTCCCCAGACACCCACCCCCAAATTTTGATGAACAGATTCTCTGATCTAGACTTGGAGCAACTCTCCTAGAATTACAGATTGTGAGAATAAATTGAGCATAAAGGTGCTAGCATCGAAAGACCTTAAGTTTCCAAATGATACTCTACAAGACCACATTTAACTAAATACAACCACTGTATAAGTTGAAGGTAGTTGTTGATGTGGGCATTTCAATAAAGCAGAAGTAGCCACATAGGATTTTTTTTGCATTCCCTCATTTATTCTATGTTACATGATAACACATAATCTATAAATTATTTGTTAACTACAACAGTTAAAGTTTGTTAGATTTTCTGGTATAAACAGTAGTGACTTAATGTACTTTTAAGGGGATCAAGCAACCAGTGCAATTTAATCCACGATGCATAGAGCCCCTCTTTTCAAAAGCCTGCAGAGTTCTTTGACATGAGGAAAAAATATGTATATTGTGTGCATTACAAACCAGGCACCTTATAAAATTTATTTTAATAATTGTCCACAAAACTATGGCATTTCATTACTAGATTTTAATATCAGTATTGTTGAAAAAAATCATTGTTGTATATCTCACTTAAGTGTTGGAAAGAATTCACAGTGACACTTAAGAAACAATGAACAATCTGAGTTAAATAGCTAGTTAACTTAAAATGCAAATTAAAATAAATTGCATATTTTATAAAAAATGATCTTCTACATATGTGCCTATCACATTAATATAATGTAGAAGGAGATGGCCATAATGGTTCTGCTAGCTAGTAAGTTAAATAATTATAGAACAGACTTGTGGACTCTGTGGGAGAAGGCGAGGGTGGGATGTTTCAAGAGAACAGCATCGAAACATGTATATTATCTAGGGTGAAACAGATCACCAGCCCAGGTTGGATGCATGAGACAAGTGCTCGGGCCTGGTGCACTGGGAAGACCCAGAGGGATGGGGTGGAGAGGGAGGTGGGAGGGGGGACTGGGATGGGGAACACATGTAAATCCATGGCTAATTCATTTCAATGTATGACAAAAACCACTGCAATGTTGTAAAGTAACTAGCCTCCAACTAATAAAAATAAATGGAAAAAAAAATCAGGGAGGACTAAGAAAGAGGCAAGGATGGGAAGGAAGGAAAAAGAGAAGGAAGAAAGGAGAAAAGAATGGAGGAAGAAGGATTTGTAGACAAATTGTTATGAGTCTAGATAAGTTCTTTCTTTTTCTTTCCTTAATTGTTCAACACTAGCATCCCCATGTCGACTTAAAAAATGTGCAATGTGAGAGTAGTGAGTTAAGTTTTATTTGAGGCGATATGAGGACTGCAGCGCAGGAGGAAGCACCTCAGTGCTGAGAAACGATTCCAAAGTGGTAGTGGGGGAAGGATAATATATATGTGATTTTGGTAAAAGCGGAGTACACGCAATCGAGCACATATTTTTTGTAGAAAGTTTCTGCTGGTCTTGTGACACTTCTGCTAGTCACCCGAAACAACTGTCAGCTTGCAGGATTTTAGTGCTTTTCTAGGTATGAGGAGATACAAGAACTGGACTCATATAATCAGCTCCAGAGAATACCTGTCAGAAGACCTGTCCTGCCAGTTTTTCCAGAGCCCGGAGTGCCTCATTTTTGCTTTCCACCCTGAACTCCTTCAGGGCTTGTTGGAGGTCAGCAGCTGTAGCAGCATGTGATTTAACCTGACAGAAGAAGGTGGCAAATGCCCATGGCAAGTGCCGATTTGTAGGTCACACCCAGAATCTAGTTTAGCCTTTTTTTTCAAGGTCAAGATACCACAATTTAGAAAGATTAAATAAATTGTCCATGAACACATAAATAATGAAGAACCAGGACGTTAAGCCACTGACTTTGACTGACTATGGACAATAGGCTTTGCTTAAACAGAGACTGACTAAACAAACACGTCAGCCACAAACTGGCGCTTGCTGTGGTTGCTTGCCGTCTGTCTACACGGGCTAAATTATGTGCTCCTGCAGCTGCCGACCTCCAACACCCCTTGAAGGAGTTCAAGGTGGAGAGCAGAAGCGAGGCGCTCTGTGCTCTGGGAAGCTGGCAGGACAGGTCTTTAATGGCCAATACTCCCAGGAGCTGATTGTATGAGCCCAGTTCTTATACCTCCTCATATCTAGAAAAGCACTAAAATCCGTCATGGTGACAATTGTTTCTGGTGACTAGCAGAAGCTTCATGAGACCAGCAGAAATTTTCTACAAAAAAATATGTGTTTGATGACATGTACTCCCCCTACGCCAAAATCACATATGTACTGTCCTTTCCCCACTAGTCTTTGGAACAGTCTCTCAGAGCTTGCTGAGGTGTTGCCTCCAGTCCTTATTTTGCCCCAAATAAAACTAAACTCCTAACTCTCATACTGTGCATTGTTTTAGTCGACAAATATTTACTGCTATTTATTTTTATCATTTACCTGTTTTCCTAATAAATATTATAATTACAAGCAAAAATTCAGAATGTATTGTCTCCTTACTCTTCTTCTGTAATAGAAGAAAAAAATGTCTATACAAAACATTTAATTTTAGCATATTTTCTACCCAGGATGCTGACTAGAAATTCAATTAATGGTAGTTAAAACTAATAAGCAATACATTGAATGGGACAAAGGACCTAATTGTTCCTTAAACTGTTTATTTCAGTCTGTTCTAGATGTCATTTTTTTTTAATCACATCTTTTGGAACATCTCTTAATAATGAAAATAGTTGTATTTTTAGATATATTTTTGAAAGACTGTGATAATATAATACAAATGGGATTATGCTGTTTTAAGATTGTATACATGCAAATGCTAAAACATAAGCATGAGATCAGCTTTGTTTCTCAGGACAAAATTAAACTATGCTAAATTAAACTATACTAAAGGTAAGTGCTTGGCTAAGGGAGTTTGACCATCTCAATAAATGACTATGATTTATGCAGTTTGCTCATTTCCCTGCAATGCTTTTGCATGTTCAATAAAAATTGATGTGAGTGAAAGGATATGAAATTTCTACCAACAGAGTAGAAAGAAAAAATAACACACTCATTTAAAATATACTTCAGCTACCTGTCATGAGAAAATTAAAAAAGCCTTTAATGGAAAGAAGTGTAGCACTTGGCAACATTACTAACTTCTATAGATGATTCAGCTTATTCAAGCCTTAAAAAGGGCTGACATTTGTGTATCTTCATATCTGAATGCTATGTGATTTTCTTATGGAATAAACTGAACTGTTTCAGTTTAATAATTTTAGAAGCAAAGGATAGGATATCCCTATATTAAACTATATTTTTTGATATCTAAAATGGCAACTTTGCCATACCCTGACCTCAGGTTTTTTTTTTTTTTTCTTTTTTTGCTGTTTATTTTGTTTTAATTTTGAATCATCATTTGCAGATTTTGTGTGTGGCTATTTCTTGTGAATAACTGAAAGAATCAAACACAGGTGTTCCATTTGACTTATTTGGGGCTGAAAACTGAGAAAAAGAAGAAATTCTATCATTTTACCAGGGTTCGCTCTGCAAGGCGGACTGCAGGAGACTTTCAATTGCTTACCCATGCAAGATTTTATCAGTAAACTGACAACTCCAACCCCTCTATTTACAGGTTCCTGTTGTTCAACATCAATAAACTCATTGATTGAATCCATGCAATTTTAAAGACTGCCACACAGCCAAGGCCAAGACTACAACTGCAGGGAATGTCTTTGAGAAATTGAGATCAAACATTGAAAACTTGCACTTTTAAGTGTAGATTCATTTACTTTTTTATGTCTCTTTAGGCAAGCACAGCAGTTGACAGTCACACAACTGCAATGCTCTTAGAGTTGCTGTTATTTGTTAAGAAGTATTTACCAATTTGGAGGCCAACAAAAATAATAAACAAAAAGACAAAAATTGCTTTGGATCGCTTTGAAGTACCCGTTTATCTCATCATTTGTAATTCAGCCAATCCTCTATTCAACATTATAGCAGTTGATTATTGCTCCGGGCGGTCTCTAATCTACTTTCTGTCTTGATTGACTTAGCTATTCTGGACATTTCATATAAAAGGAATAATACTTGGAATGATATTTTAAAGATTTAACCACATTGTAGCATGAATCAATACTTCATTTCAAACAATAGTTTAGTCTGTGGATATGCCATAGGCTTCCTTGATGGCTCAGATAGTAAAGAATCTGCCTGCAAGAGACCCTGGGTTGGGAAGATCCCCTGGAGAAGGCAATGGCTATCTACTACAGTATTCTTGCCTGGAAAATTCTTTGGACAGAGGAGCTAGCGGGCTACAGTCCATGGGGCCGCAAGGAGTCAGTCACGCCTGAGCAAGTGACACACGAACATGGATTTGCCTTAATTTGTTTATCCATTAATTAGTTGATGAACTTTGGCTTATTTCCATTTGGGGTCTATTATGAATAATATTTCTATTTGTACACAAATTTGGGGACACATTTTAAAATTTTTCTTCATTATATTCTTTAGAGTGGAGTTGCTGAATCATATGGTAACACTTAACTTTTTGTGGAACTAACTGACTTACAAAATGGCTTCATCATTTTACACAGTGCCACCCCCCACCCCAAGGCAACTTATGAGGGTTCTAATTTTTCCACAACCTTTCCAGTACTTGTTATTGCCCATCTTCTTAATGACAGTCATCCTAGTAAGTGTGAAGTGGTACCTCAACATGAATTAATTTTCTTAGCATTTACAAACTAAGTGATAAATGGGTAGGTGTGAAAATAGATTCATGGAGCCATAATTCGAAAAATGATAGAAGAAGGTACATAGCATACCTCAGAGATATTTCAGGTTCAATTCCAGATCACCACAATAAAATATCATTATAAACTGAGTCACATGATATTTTTTGGTTTCCAAGTGTTATTTATAAAAGTTATGTTTACACTGTAGTGTGTTAAGCTTGCAGTAGCATCATATCTATTAAAAACACACACACACACATAGCCTAATATAAAAAATAATTTAATTCTAAAAAAATGCTAACCATCTTCTGAGCCTTCAGCATGTCATAGTTTGCCAATGGAGGATCTTGCCTTGTTGGTGGTTGCTGAAGATTGGGGTGTCTGTGGCAATTTCTTTTTAAAATAATCTTTATTTACGTATTATTTTTGACTGTCCTGGGCCTTCACTGCAGCACATGGACTCGTCATTACTGCACACAGGCATTCTCTATTTGTGGTGAGTAGGGGCTACTCTCTAGCCGCAGTGCATGGGCATCTCATTGAGGCGGCTTCTCTTGCGGAACACGGGCTCTACGATGCACAAGCTTCAGTAGTTGTAGCACATGGGCTCAGTAGTCATGTTCCACGGGCTTAGCTGCCCCACGGTATGTGGGATCTCAGTTCTCAGACAAGGGGTCAAACCCACGTCCCTTGCATTGGCAGGAGGATTCCCAACCACTGGGCCATCAGGGAAGACCTGGCAATTTCTTAAAAGATGGCAACAATGAAGTAAGCTACCTTAATTTACTCTTCCTTTCACTTTAACACATAAAGGCCATTGTAAGGTTTTCAAGTGGTCGAATTTTGGTATAGTTGTTTCTCAGGGCATAGGGAAGTTTAGGGAAGGAAGAAAGGATTAGGGAACAGCCAGTCAGTGGAGCAGTCAGAACACAGAGAGCATTCATCAATCAAGTTTGCATTTTATCTAGCAGGGTTTATGGCACCCCAAAACAATTAAAGCAATAGTATCAGAGATCCCTGATCGCCATAACAAATGCAATAATAAGGAAAAAGTTTGAAGTATCGTGGGAATTGCCAAAGTGTAACAGAGAGACACAAAGTGAGCAAATTCTATGGGAAAAACTGGTGCTGACAGACTTGCTTCATTCATGGTTGGCCATAAACACTCAATTTCTTTAAAAAAAAAAAAAAGGAAAGCAGTACCTGCAAAGTGCAATAAAGTAAGGCATAATAAAACAAGGTATGCCAGTATATAAAAATCTTCAAAATAAATTACGGGATTTTTTTTCCTGAGAAATAGCATACACACAAGATCAAGTGTTCTTTTATAGAAGGAGTGATTCTTTCAGAGTCACTGGCATTGACTAACTTTTGAAGGATGCACATTATTCATACAGAGTGAGAAGAGAAAACACTTCAAATAGAATATTTAAAGTAATATTTCTAGAAGTCAAATTGTACAAGTTTTTGTGAAGCATTGAGTAGATCAATTTTGCTTGAGCAGACAGCTTAAAAAGAGGAGATAAGATTGGGAAAACATATAACCATTACAACTGAAAAAGAGAAACAGAAATAGAGTGATTATACACATTCAATAATTTAAAACAATGCAAGGTGATAATAGATTTAAGTGCCATAATGAGTGGAACATAATAATTAATATGACTGTGCACTGAACATTCATAAAATTTTCAGAAAGAGATGGGGTTTGAGTGGATAAGGACACATACCATGTTGGCATAACATCAGGGGAAATTATTTGGAGTTAGATAACAATGGGCAAAATTCTGTCTCCTATTTGACTCTCACCACAAGACTCAGTCTGTACTGTGGTGTCCCACTGGATCCAGGCTTCCTGGGGAACCTAGAGCTCAGGTGGTCTCTGGTCTCCTTGTTTTTCTATTCTTTTGAACCCAGCTAGGCTATGTCATTATCAGAAGTAAAAATTATTTATTGACTGAAACAGAAGGATTCAGGAGTTGTGACACTGCAGTTCCCATGCTCCTTATGGTAACAATCATTGCGCCTCACTGCAAGAGCAGAGCCCTCACACCCAAATAACTGTTGAAATTGAATTTCAGGGAAGCATTTCCCAGGATCATGTTCCTTGCATACAAGAGATGGAACTAGAAAGTAAGAGAACAGTTAGGATATTACAAGACTAGATAAAATGATGACAAATGGATGGAGATGCATTCAGAGCAGAATATTTGACATGAAAGATAGTGTGTGTGTTAAATCACTTCAGTCATGTCTGACTTTTTGTGACCTCATGGACAGTAGCCAGCCAACTTCCTCTGTCCATGGGATTCACCAAGCAAGAACACTGGAGTGGGTTTCTGTGCCCTCCTCCAGGGGTTCTTTCCAACCCAGGGATCGACATTTCTTAAGTTTCCTGCATTGGCAGCCAGGTTCTTTACCACTAGTGCTATCTGAACGTGCCACCTGAAGCCCATGAAAGATAGCAGACACTTCAAACAGCCCATGTCAGAAAACAGAAGTTGGGAGGTGAATGTTTCACTTTCCAACAATAGATCACTAAACAGGGGCTCACAAAGCTTGCTTGGAATGTGTGTGTCATCATGCTAAGACGTCTTAAGTGATGTCATGAGGCTTGTCAAGTTCTCTGTAGAGTGGAGGTGATTAAATTGTAATGACAGCTCCCCATGTCACCGTATCAGGAACCAAGACTTTGTATCCTGTTGCTTTGCTGTTGAGAGGGACAGAAAGTAAGGGTGGGCTTTCATTTTCACATTCTACCAACATGCTCCTTTCTCAAGCCAGTGTGAATGTATCTTGGGCATCTGAAAAGAAGAGAGAAGAGGACTGAAACCCTTTACAATTGTTCTCAAAGAACAAGATAAAATGTTATTTTATATTTTACTGACTACAATTTAGTCACCAAACCGTGCTGTAAAGCATACTGGGAAATGGTCCAGGTAAATACAAGCATTTGCCCTACCTAGAAAAAGAACTATGGACCTAGAATGAGAGATAACTGCCAGAGATTCTTTAACATATCCTTTGATCAAAAATCACTGTAAATCCTCTTGTAAATTTGTTTTTTGACTCTTTACTTTTATCTCACAGAAAGGAAAAATAAGTCTCAGAACCAGGAGTAAGCATTTCTGTCCCACCTTCCACTGCCCCATGTCAATTGCTTTTAGTAAGTCAGATGCTCATGCAGAGGAGAAAATATTTCTCTGATGCCAAAAGCAAAGTTAATCTATTGTGAAAGAGTTGAAGTATGTTCTAAAGAAACTTCCAGCTCAGTCTTAGACCCTGAAGACCCTCAGGATGTTCTATGATTGTCATAATTAATATTCATCCCTTTGGGGGCACTATGCTTAGGCAGGGAGCTTCACCAAGTGGCGCTAGTGATAAAGAACCCTCCTGTCAATGCGGGTAACTTAAAAGTTATGGGTTCCATCCCTTGGTTGGGAAAATACCCTGGAGGAGGAAGAGCAACCCACTCCAGTATTCTTGCCTGGGAATCCCATGGGCACAGTTGCCTAGTGGGCTACAGTCCCTAGGGTCACAAAGACTCGGACATGACTAAAGTAACTTAGGACACACCTACATGCTTAGACATGGAACATGTGGTTATTTTTTATTTTATTTGGATAATTTTAAATATGTTTGGATCTGCTGACCATATATTTATTGAGCCTAATGCATGTCAAGAATTGTGTTAGTCTTGATAATCCTTTTAAGAGAGAACAAAATATAGGTAAAATTATGACATGTTTCAAATCCCTGTATGCTTGTAGTACATTGAGTAGATGACAACTTTTTCAAAAATTAGCAAACATTTCAGTATGAACAGTTTCAACACACACATGTGCATACCAAATATATTATGTTGTATGTTATGTTATATACTCTATATTGTATATTGGGCTGTCCTTGCGGGTCAGTGGCAAAGAATCCTCCTGACAAAGGGGACTCAGGAAACTAGGGTTTGATCCTTGGGTCAGGAATATACCCTGGAGACGGAAATTGCAGTCCATTTCAGTATTCTTACCTGGAAAATCCCATGGACAGAGAAACCTGGTGGGCTACAGTCCATGGAGTTGCAAAGAGTCAGAAACATCTCAGAAAGTGAACATGAACACATATATTATATATTATATTACATACTTTAGAGGCA